CAATGTGAATGTTAACATGTCAATGTGAATATTCACATTGTCAACGGGCCGGGTCGGGTCCGTCCTGGGCCGCTGGCCAATTTTATACTCTTATCAATGTGAATGTTAACATGTCAATGTGAATATTCACATTGTCAACGGGCCGGGCTCGCCCCGGCCCAACTCGAATTTTTCCGGGCACCCACGAGGATCAACATGGGGCGGGCCCCTACACATTGACGGTGTGAACATTCACATTAGGAGTATTTTGGTAATTATGTCACTCATAGGACTTATTGAAACATAAGAAAATAATGTGAATTAAATGGAACAAAATTAGATAAAAAGGGTATTTTGGTCTTCTTATCTCAAATAGGAGTTAATGGAATAGTCAAAAAGAATATGGGTTGGATGGAATAAAACTCTTAGAAAGTGGATTTATCCAAAAAGCTCCCAAAAATTAATTATAATTAAATAAAAAAATGACATAAGTAAAAATGTATATGTTATACCTTTTTCAATGGACTTGTATAATATTTTGCAACAAAATTTCATTTTTGGAGGCAAAATTTTTTTGTTTCTAAAACTTTTATATGCTATTGTTATAAATCACAACATCATTTTTCTCTCTACATGACTAAGCAATTATTAATGAAAATGGGATTAACTGTTGTTTGAATTAAAATAGTAAGAAAATTTGATATAATTATCTCAAATTTGTGGAATTTGTTATATTCTTTTTTTTAAATCTCAAGAAATGTCACTGTAATTTATCAACAAACAAAAAAATAAAATAAAATACAAGAGGCATCTATTGAATTTTAGGAGGGGAAAAACATGTCACAAATTCATTTTGCTCCGCACCAAAGTGAGTTGTGGCCGTAAGTCTATTAAATAACTCTTCTCTCTCTTTTATGTACAACCAAATGAAAGTGAGATTTTCATGGTTTGAGGAGGCTGTTATTCATTGTCTTTGAAAGGAATAAAATGAGATGTGTCAATTTGGCAAAAGATCCTCCAATTGGAAGACAACAAACTCCAGTAGGAGCAGTTATTCCATCTTTGTCAGTTGGTATTTCAAAATGGGAAAATATTAAGAGACAAATTATTGTCGTCACTAAAAAGCCATCTAAAAAAGTCAAAAAAAGAGATGTTTAAGGATAGTTTTAAAAATATTACTAATAAATATAATTTTAGAAACAAATTTTGATTTTGAAAGGATAATAGCTCATGTAGGTCATAATAGGTAAACTTATTGTCTAATAAGTCCTATGATAATTAATGACATTTTTCATCGAACACTATTAAAAAACATCACTAATTATTAATTTTCAGTGACAGTTTGAAAATTGTCATAAAAAAATATCACTAATTATAAGTTTTAGTGACAGTTTAAAAACATCGTCACAAAAAAAGATTACTAATTTTAATTTGTAGCGACAGTTTAAAAAATTGTCACATAAAACGTCACTAATTATAATTTTTAGCGACAATTTATAAATCCATTTCTAGCGATATATGCAAAATATTGTCACAAAAAATTATTTTTAGCGACAATTTTATTAGGACTTATTTTCAATAAAACTTAATAGGAATTAAGTCCAACTATTAGAAACTATTGGTGGTTTGTATTTTCTCAATACGTCAAGAGAGTTCAGTGTATTATTATTATTATTATTTTTTTTTTTTACCAAAATTGATAAAAATGTAATATTAAACCTTTAAGTTAATATAATTGAAGACCCCCCTATCTTGAGATAATTCAACTTGGTTCCAACCCTTTTCCTTAATGTTATGGCAAATTTCATTTGATATTTACAAGTAATATACATGCAAGTGAAAGAATTGAAGAAATTGTTATTGCAATACCAAAATTAGTTTCACATACACTATACTATATGTCCTAAAATTAGTGTATAATAATATGAACATGGATTGCTTAATACAATAAAGTTTGAAAATATAACCAATGACAAAATGGGTGTTTTAAAAATGTGACAAAGTGAGGACTTTGCTTAAATGATCATCCTTATTAACTAGGTATACTAGAGTCATCATTGAGTTCTCTTACTTATCACCTTAGTGGGAGTTGCTTATTCATTCAAAAAAATATAAATAAAATAAAATTAAAAAACACCTTAGTGGGAGTTTAAAATATTATTTTAGCGGGGCATTATTACGGATAATATACATTATTTGTGGGTGCAATTACAGCTATAAATGACAATGACATTCGTTGTTACTCCGTTGAACTTTTTTTGAGGCAAGACTTCCTTCGTAAAGTGTCAAAATATTAGAGATGACTTTGTTATTTAAAATTTATTAAAAAATTATAAAATATTTCTTCTTATCGAAGGCCTCGTAAAAAATATTTTGTTATGCAATTTGGTTTATTGAGAGAGAGAAAGAGAGATTGATTTGATGAAGAAGAAAATCACAATACCAGGATATATTTTAACAAATTATTGACTAAATAACTTCTTCATCAATGGAATGCAACAGACTTTTTGGGTAATTCAGTCCAAATACGTTAGTAGTATAAGAGGAAACCGACAAAAAAGACGGGAGGAGATAAGGAGAAACGAGAAAGAAGGGTATACACTTATATACAGAAACAGCAGTAACAAGCAGCACAAAAGAAATGATGTCGTCGGTCAAAAACTATTGAATGGTGTCGAATTTTCATCTTCGTTTTCTTTAAACTTTTTGCTTGATGAGTAATCACTTACACTCATGAAAGCATTAGACAAGATCCAGTTAGAAGGGATAGCCACAACTTCTCATCTCTCTGGTGAAGAAGGGATGTCCAAGAGCTTCCCTTGCTTTGAGCCGCTCTGCTGGGTCATAACGCAGAAGCCCTTGCAAAAGATCAATAATATCACCAGCAGAGTGATCCACATGTTCCATTATCAAGTTCTGCAATATACATAAAGAACAAACAGAAAAAGAAAAAAAGGAAAAAAGAAAAGAAAGAAAATATAAGAAAAGATCAAATTAATACATAAAGAGGACAAGGGCAAATATCACAAGAAGAACAAGGTTTTCATCTATGAATATATTCACATGATCAAACCAAAGATCATTATTCAATCTTGGAAATGCAAATTAATCGCTTGATGATGCAAAATACTTAAAACTATACCCCTCTTCATAATGTTGTTTGTTTCCTGTATGCGCCAAATGGGATCACAAATCCGGCAGCAGGAGGAGGCATTTTAATGATAATGAAAGACAATTAAGTCACACCCTTTACTTCAGCTTTACTCAGTTGCCTAACATGAGAGATGGATGGCATAATATCTTGGAGGGCACAGAAGTGGAAGGACAACTTATAAGAAGACAATGTTAATAATAATAATAACTTTTTTCAGAAATCTCTCCCAACAATGGGCCTTTCCCAGAACTTGTAAAGAGTTTCTGCATAACTGCATTTTCATCTTGTGTGTGTGTTAGAGAGAGAGAGAGAGAGTGTAATCATGTTCATGAATATTTTTTTCTTTCTTAGGTCACTTAAGTCACACCCTTTACTCCAGCTTTACTCAGTTGCCCAACATGAGAGATGGATGACATAATATCTTGTAGGGCACAAAAGTGGAAGGACAACTTATAAGAAGATAATGCTAATAATAATAATAACTTTTTCCAGAAATCTCTCCCAACAATGGGCCTTTCGCAGAACTTGTAAAGAGTTTCTGCGTAACTGCATTTTCATCTTGTGTGTGTGTTAGAGAGAGAGAGAGAGTAATCATGTTCATGAATATTTTTTCTTTCTTTTGATAAGTAATCATGTTCTTGAATCTTAGCCTTCTCAGATTCAGACTTTTGAAGAATGCACGATACAAGTTTTGCAAACTGATACCAACTGGCCTATAAGTAACAAACTACTTCCATGTTTAAGTAATAAAATTCATGTCCCAAAAAAATTCAAATAAAATTCTAACACTGTCTGCAATACAATTCACTTGGCCGACATCAGTGATTAAACAGTTTCAGAGTATGTTCACAATTGCTAGCCAAATGCCATCCAGGCATTTCTATTATTCATTCCTATGAAAAATAGCTAGTGAGAACAACGGAGATGATGTTAAATTAGTACCCGTTGCATACGATTCTATTAACAGTTCAGAATAAACAAATCTACCAATTACCTGTAGGCGGGGTAGTTTCCAAACTGCCCTCATACTTTCTTTGGAGCTTGCACCCTCTGGCCAATCCAAGCGTGCACTCCTCTTGAAATATTTCTCAGCACGAAGGCTGAAAAAATACAAATAAGAGCTTTACACATGGGATGAAGCAGATAAATAGTATGAAATAAACGAACGAAAACAACAGATCTTACTCTGCACTAATAATCATATGCTGTGGCAGTGGCCCTAACACCCTCTCCATCATAGCTAGATGTTCCAAGTTCTCATGTGTTTGGAAAAGGGCCTCACCCTGTTAACAAACAAAGTAGAAGTCAAAAAAATGCCATAAATAGAAACGTGATTGAATGAAGTATGCAATGATGAGTGAACAGAACAACTTAAACTCAGATCAATTACAAGGATACTTTATTGTAGACACTGATTTCCTTCCCAATAAATTAATTCAATAACAACACAACGTTTGAAGGGCGCTCATCTTGTAAGTGATTGGTCACCACATTGAAAATTGGACCTTCCACTGAATCTTCTAAATCCTTCTTAGCAATATGATCAACAGATGAAAGATAAACTAAAACCAACATGCCACTAATGCTCTCAGTAGTAGAAACAAACAAGAAAAAGCACAATCTTACTTACCGAGCAAAGTTCAACAAGTATGCAACCCACGCTCCACAAGTCACAAGGATAGTTCCATCCAAGACCTAGTGAAAACAAAACAATAAATAATTTTAACACATCAAAATTAAATGACAAACATAAAAATACTGACTACAAAATCTGATAACAAATGGCCATTACCTAGAATAACTTCTGGTGCACGATAATGACGCGTTGACACCACGTAGGTGTGGTCCTGATGTTCAAAAGTAGTACTCCCAAAATCAATTAGCTTAATAGCACTTGACTTTGGCAGATTGTTGAAAAATGAACCATCTTTAGTAGATCGTGATAGAAGCTTGAATGCAGACAACATATAATCAAAATATTAGCGATCTGAAGTTAAAATAAGAATGAAATTCATAAGCACCAGCCTAGCAACAGTATTATTGATTTATACAGTTTTATCTCATCAACTAATATCAATACTCTAGTTACATGAAAAATTAGACCAAAGATTTTTATTTGCAGTAATTCAGGACAAATGCAGCAAAAAGAATAACCAAAATATCAATTGTATCCACAAATAGTCTCCAAATGAAAAGGCCAACATATCAGTTGGGTTTAAATATAAAACCCTTAGGCTGCGTTTGGATCAAGGATGTGAGGAGGGATTTGCGAAGGGAACGGAAATAGGAAGGGAAAAGTGAATGAAACAGAAGCTTAATTTTTGTCATCCCTTTCTTTTTCCGTTCCCTCCACAAATCGCTTCTCAATCCTAGATCCAAACACAGCCCTATTGAGATGGATTGGAACACACCCTAATCTTGCCAAGTCTGATTTGCATGCGCACACAAATTCAAAACTCTTTTAAAGATAAACTAATAAACAAATAAATAAAGAGAACATATCGCATGAGTCAATACCTTATAATCTGGCACTTTAACATATTCTGATGAAACAAGAAGTATGTTTTCTGGTTTCAGATCTGTATGAATCAGGTGTAAATCATGCATAACTGCAAAAGCAAGTAAGCAAAATGAATGAGAATCAGAAGTAGAGTTGATCATCAATTCTAATCATGCTTGAGCAAACAAAGATTACTCTGGGTTTCTATCTACTGTTAAATAAATCAAAGATGGAAATAGGAGTCCCGGTGATTCCCAAATCTGAGCATAATTAAAAAAGCATTTGAGCTGCTAAGCAATAAGTTGAAGCATTTATAGAAAAAATGATGCAAGATGTGTGCACACACATGCTACAGATTCCAAAAGTTGTCTGCCAAACTCCCGAACAAGATCAGTTGGAAATGAACGATAGCTGTTTTTGCGGAGAAAATCGTATAAGCTTGGTCCAAGCTTCTCAAATACCTGTCAAGACCATTTAAATCCATCCGCAAGTTTTTAACTCACAGAATATCCAGGCACAAAGGGACATCATCGCCCTTTCAAATTAATTAAACCACAAGTACCAATAAATACTTACAATACAAACATGATTACGATAGTCAAACCAATTCCGTATTTGCACACAACTGCAAACAATAAAACAACTTATACCCAATTACTGTAAACTTTTACAGTTAAAAAGGGACGAGATATGGAATCTGATGCGTACCGTGTGCCACCAATATCATGCCTGGAAAGTTTCTGTAGGACGTCAATTTCAATCATGGCAGCTTCGCGGTACTTGTTTATTGAACGAACAATTTTAATTGCTACAATCTCTTTCTTTTCATTGTCTAAACATTCCAAGACTTGCCCAAAAGTCCCTGCAATTATATTACCCAATGGATTTAATTCATCGGATGAATTAACAATGATGGGAATATGGAATGTCAATTTGAAAGTTTATGGAACCCAAAAAGTGAGTATTTATTATTAATACCAATGTCTAGAAGACTCATATTAATAACAAAAAATAAATAATAAAAAAGAAGAAGGAAAGGAACAGATAAAGGGAGAAGGAAAGAAGTTGAAGGAAAAACTAACCTTCACCCATTTTACTCAGAATCCTGTCTGCAAGTACAAGTAAATAAAATATGTTATTGGTGAACAGATAACAAATCAAAGAAAAAACTGAGAACACGGATCCACAAATAATAGGACATATCTAAACCAAAGATCAATTAGTTTGTTATTTTCAAAAACTGTTTTTAGAAATGAGTTAGAGAGAACCATTTTCTAGGAAGCACCATAACACTACTTTCTGTTCTCTGTTTTGTGGTTTCCAGTTAGGAATAGCAATATGAACACATCAACCCCCCAAAAAAAAACATGAGTCTCAAAATTTTCGCAACTTTCAGAAAAAATGTTTGAGAGCATTTTGGAAACCACTTCTTAATTACATGATGTGTCCTTTTGAATCTTTCAAAAGCAGACTAGCATCCTTTTGAAAGAAAACCCACCTTTTTCAACCAAAAAAAAAAAAACACAAAAAACAAAAATCAGACAGCCAATTTAATCCATGAAAACTGCTCATAAAACCCACCTTTTTCAACCAAAAAAAAAAAAACACAAAACACAAAAATCAGACAGCCAATTTGATCCATGAAAACTGCTCATAAGTCAACAGAACTGGGCAGTCCAAATATCATATAACTAAAAAAATTAGTTGAGCAAGAAGCCAACCATGGTGAGCCTCTATCTCTAGTCCCCAATGTTTTATGATTTCTCTCTCTCACATCCTTTCTGTTTTACGACTTCTACTCAATCTTGGACTGTTTTTATTTTTATTTTTTTAGCAAGTAGAGAAGTCTTGGACTATCATCGATGTACGGTTTGAATCTAGTCATTGGAATTGTTTTTCTTATAGATTAAATGCAAAAATAAATTCTAATTGAGTCAATGTTTGTTTACTTTCAATCAAATAAGAAAATAAGGTTAAGATGTTCTCATGAAGACAATAATTTACTTACCAACAAAAAAATGATGACAATATTTGAAGATTATCAATGCGAACTTACAACGAGTAGTTAAGTTCTCTCCAATGGTAAAAACAAAATGCCCATCTTTATCATCTGGTCTCCAAGGAGGTGATCCATTGAGGGGCTTGTAATATATAGAAGAATAAGCATAATTGGGAACTGCCCCATTCCCAAACTCGTGCCCACAATATATTGGTGGAAGGACCTGAATGGCAGTAAACATAATCCACATGTCAATGACGTAAAAATCCTTTTGACAGTGTAAAAATTGAATCTTCAAAACCCTGGCACAACTTTCAACAGTAGCAAACCTTGTGTCAAACTAGATGAATGTTAATGCTCTGCACATTGTTAGATGGGAAGTGAAACCAGCTCAAAATATGTTATAGTGAGATGTGTGATACCTTTTACTGCCAATTGCATACTATGTCTAGTGATCTCCAAAGTCAATTTTTTTAAAACTTTAAAAGAGAAGCAACCTAATAGAGTTCGGACTAAACAAAAACACACTTGGCATGGCATACTGTAACCCAACTTTCCTTCAACCAACATAAGATTCCTATATAAGAATTGCTCACTACATTTTCTTCTTGAACTATAACTAATGAGGATATATACTTACAGTAAAAGTTAGTGTATGCATTATGCTGCTATTGTAATTCATGGATAGAGAAAATAGTTGTGGCAAGAGAAAAGAGAACCAAAAGGACATTCAAGGGAGGGAGGGAGGGGGGAAAGGAGAATATAAGTAAATGTTCTTTTATCCATCCTTCCTATAAAGTTTTGATCTCATCCTCTAATTGCGCATTGTTACGTAATCACATTATTATTAGTTTTCAATTTAAAATATTGCCAAGCATGTCCATCTCTACTCATGCTAATACACTCAAATCTCCCTTGGCTTAGTGTCACGGGTTGCCTTGCAAGGCTAACTCCGTGACGTTTCGCTCACGGTGGTGTGACCATTTGAGTGCTCAAGAGTCGCCGTTGGAAGTGTCCCAACGTGGCCTAACATTGGCCTCAAGTAGCCCGAGGCATGTAGGCCACTAATAGCCAGCAAACGACAAAGCCGCAGCCCATGTTAATAGCCAACCAGCGCTGCCAGCAGGCAGCAATGGCAGCCAACAGTGCAGAATTTTGGCGCGCTGTTTGGACATTCAAACGAAGGAGTTTCGGGTTGAAATTTTTACTGGAAAGAGGTCTTAGGGGAAGTGTTTTCCCGACCAAGTTTCGTGATTTTTCTCAATTTGTGGAATTTATGAAAAATCATTATGACTCCTCGGACATATTGATGTTTTCTCCTGCCAGAGGGCAAATTGCTTAACAAGCATATATAAAGGAGCAAGGTGTGCTACCTACCTACCTCCCCGCCCAAACTGGGCTTCAAGTGAGCGACCTTAGGGCAACTCAAGGGCGGGTTTTAGGCATCCAGAGGGGTGTCTAGAGTCTCCACGTGGGTTTGGGAGCCCCGTGGACGGTACAATAATGTAAGCACTGCGCGTGTCCTCCCGAGGGAGAGGTTCACTACGTTGCTTCCATTATGCCACGCAATATGGCATCTTTGGGATTCGTTTTGGACCGAATGGGCTATCGAGGCACCACTAAAGGCCTAGTGTGCCAACTCAAGTGCTTGGTTTGGGTTCAACCTTGCACGAGGGGATCCCGTGGCTTAAGCTAAGCGGTTGGAAGGCGACACCGCATATGTGGGCTATCGAATGAAGGCATCAAGCTACGTATTGACTAAGTCCATTGAGGGACTACATTATGCTACAAGCAAGCTACAGATTGAGACGTTGCCTTACTCATGCTACACGTTGGTGCAACGCTAAGGTGCGCAATAGCCTTAGGCGGAATCTAGCACACGTGTTGGCACGAGGATTACGCCGTGGGCGAGAGATTGACCCTCGGTGGCTTGTGGGCTTCGCATGACCAAGTGGCCATCCAATGTGCATCTATCGAGGCACGCTTGACCCTACGACACTTCGAGATGCTATCAAAGACCCAACATGCAATGTTGGCTTGTCGTCTAAGTTGAGGACCTTCGCTAGCACATTGTTGTGTGGCTAGGCACCTTGATGACATAAACCTAAGTTGGGCGAGCACCTTGCTTGAGGTAAGCTTGGCGCTATGAAGCGACCTATGCCGTGCTTGGTGCACTTGAGGCGTTAGGCCTACTTGTGGCATCCGAGGGAAGATGGGGCTTCCTTGTGAAGTTGTATTGCTTGACAAAGCATTGGGCCGTAATGTTCAAACGGGTGAGACCATCAACACTCGATTTGTCAACGAGCTATGGCGGGCTTAAACTTGGTGGAGTTTGAGCACTACATGGGCGAAAAATTGATCCGCTGCGCCTCTAAAGGAGTCGGCCCGTGACACTTAGCCAAGTGACTATGGAACATGAACCTCTCCAGAGGTAACTTACTAGTGCACAACAAGTGGGGGACACGGACATGTGTTGGACACACTCAACACACATGTCGAACACGCTGAAGGAAGTGTCCCATTTTTTAGTTTTTAGTTTTATTTTTTCTCATCAGAGTGGCATATCTAAGGTTGATGAATTTGATGTGATTTAATATTTGGAAGAGTAAATTTACAATGTTCAAATATATGACATACAATAAATATATAAAAATGATATGTTTTGCATGTGTCTCCCATGTGTCGTGTCCTGTATTTTTTGAAAATTTACATGTCTGTGTCGTATCACTTGTCTAGGCTTATTAGTAGCAAGTAGTTCTCCACAGAGCATACACCTATGCTTTACAATTGGTTCTCCAACGGCACCCTGATGCTCCCAAGCCAACCCAGGACGAGCACAAAAGGCTTAGAGACTCCCACATGGTTGGTGTACTAGTCATAGGCATCCAAGCGATCCTATGGCATGGGATCAACTAGACACATATGACTAGGTGACTAAGTTGAGGGTTTGTCTAGGTGTACATCCTATTTCTCCTCAAGAAACCAACACCTCAACCACTCTTAGAGAGAGATCTCTATACAATTCTAGACCATGACAAATACCGGTCTAGGACATAGATATATCTCCAACCTAGAAACTCTAGTTCTCCATCTCAAACATAGAGGGGATACAAGTAAAAAAATATTTTTTTTTATTTGCTATATATATACAAATATAACCTCCAAAAATAACCAAATAATGAGAAACCAACACTAATTCAATATGAATAGATCATCCATAAAAAATAAATAAATCACAAGAAGTCAAAGAAGATTCATCAAATAAAACATTACAATCCAAAAATCACTCATCAACATCCAACATTCATCAAAAACACCAAAAAGGATAGTAGGCATTGGTTAAGAAAGAGAGAGGGAAGAAGGCATGAGGCTACTAAATCTTTGTATTCCTACTAAAGTGCACGAAGGGATAGGCGCACACTGAGAGAGACGAGAGAGAGAGAGAGAGAGAGAGAGAGAGACAAGATAGTACCTTTTGGATGGAGCAATTGGTCGAGGTTGCTGATGATCAAAGTCATTGGTAGAAAATGATCAATGGTGGAGTACCTGTTGGATAAAGGTTGCCGATGATGAATAATTGCGAGTGTCTGGTTTATTCTCCATAACTTTGTTAAACCTCTATCTGATGGGGAATGTGAAGGTATTAGATAAAGTTAAATTGAAGAGGTTGTTGATGATCAAAGACTTGTGGAAGACGATCGATCGTGGAGTACCTTTCGGATAAAGGTTGTCGATGATGAATAATCATAGGTGTCTGGTTTGATCTCCGTAAGATTGTTAAACCTCTCCCTGATGGGGAATGTGGAGGCATTAGATGAAGTTACATTAAATATTGAAGATTTATTTTAATGTTGTTTTCTCATTTACAGTTTTATTGCTTTATTAGTTTAATATTGTAGTCCTTATTTTTGGTAACTTTAACTAAGGATTCTTAGGATGCCTATACATATGCCTTTTATGTAATTGTTTATCAGACTTGCCTTGAATATTGAAGAATTGATATATTGTTTGGTATTGGTTGGCCCCCCTTCCCTTCATCTCTGTCGTTCTTCTCTTCTCCTTAGTATTCTTCTACTTCCTCTACTAATCAATTTTGGCATCATAGCCTAACTTTTATCCACAATTTCAGTTCAATCAGCTTGGTTGCCTTCTTAACATGGTTGGGTCGCATTGAACCATTATCACCATCATCAAATCGATTCACGTAGTTGCTTTATTCATATGCCAATGATTCGATCCAAGTAAAAAAATGGAGAGCTTGAGTTTTCTGTTGGGATCTATTGCACATACATTAGAACAACAAAAGGCTTTGACCCCAAACCACGTTTTTAAAATTATAATAAAACCTCAAACGTGTCCTAGGCATGTCCAAACACATGAGACACGCGTGTCCGCAAAGTGTTCTGTAATGTGTCCAAAATTTTAAAATAAAAATAGACATGTCATGTGGTGCGTTAGAGTCGTGTTTGTAACCCATATGTGTCGGTCCTATTACTCAATTAGTGTAATTGACTAATTGCATTTAGACCTTACAATAGTTTGATTAAAGATAATGTTATTCCATATGACCACATATTATAATATATATTTTTTACTAGTGTTCTTGTTTGTGTATTTATGTCATGCCATATTCTTGTTGATCTTTGTTTGAATGCACTTATTAACACATGTCCAAGTAACTACACATATAGGTGCATGTAGACATGACTGTACACACATACGTCTGTATTCACATCACTTATATGCATATAAACATTAGTCTTTCACTAATAGGTGCCTTGTTAAAGCTTTTGTTGCTCCATTATCTACTTCTACAAATGATTCATAAGGCAACAAGCTTTCAGAACACTACTACACTCCTTCTAAACAATAACATTTAATAAGACAGAATTTTTGAAGACTTTTCAAATTACCAAGGTGCCTTCTAATGAAAGCCAAAGTTTATTAATCTTCTTTAACTTCTACATTGCCTTAACACTACTTTGATGATTCAACCAAAGAACTCCTCAACAACTAGGCCATCTAAGTTTGGTGTAGTAATTGAACTAGAATATGTTTGCTGTCCAAATTTTGTCTTATATGATTTTTATCATCAACTCCAAATCCAAATTTACACAAATATTTAACAAATTTTAAAAGCATGTTGGTTATACATATATAGTTGGTTAATACTTAACACTAATCACCCAAATCTAACCCACATATGAAAGGACTAAGCTTTTAAATCCTACCAAACCCAGAACATTTTTTTGACATTTTATTATGAATATTTTTTTATTATATTTTGTACTTAAAATACCCTCAAGATGCTTGCCAATAGAAATCAAATTCAATTAATTAATATGCTGTTTTAGGTTGAGGGGTGAAAAAACAGACTTTTAATTGAGTGGACCATTTAGGAGGAAGATTTTCAACAAAATATCAATGAACTATTTCAAAGGACAATTCTATCTAATTGTTATTGCACTGCAAACCATTTGGCAGAGAACAAACTGGAACAATTTCAATGTTTTGACTTGAGACAAATGCAAACAGGACCCATATGCATATATTTTCTAAACAGTAAGTGTGAGCCTAAGATATAATTTTTCATTCACTTTTCCATCTATATCCTATCATTTCTAGATTATTTTCACATCTTCAGTAGGGTGAATTACATTAATACTTCCTATAGTTTGGGGCTTGTGTCACTTTGGTTCCTGACTTTTCAATTGTGACACATTTGATCCTGAATTTTAAATTTTGTTCCAAATAAGGACAATTGAAGATATCATTAGATTTTTTAAGGGTAAAATCATCAATTTGATAAAATATAAACCAATTTGACAAAAATAAATGTCAAACAAATATTTTTGAATTTTTAAAAATTATTTCTACCCACTAAAAATAAAATTATGTAAAATTGATAAATCTTTTAGACATTTATTTATTTATTTTACCAAATTAATTTTTATTATGTGTTTGGATGATGATCATCTAAAATTAATTTTTAAAACTTAATCCCGTAATTTTTATTAATTTTAATCAATTTTACATAATTTTATTCATGAACACCCCCTTGAGATTAAGTTTTTAGAAGAGTCATTGTGGTTATTTTTGGGTCTTAAGTAGTGTGCTCACTCTAAGTTTCTTAGGTTCGAAACTTTTTAGATGCAAATAATTTCTTGTGGTCAACCTGGGGCTCTTTTTTATTTTAATTTGACCCCTGGCTAATAGACGGGGATTTGAAAATATTGTATTTATTCTCCACAAGTTGTTAGGCGGTTGGACAATCAATTCACAGTGATAATTCTAGGGTTTTATGGTACAGAGACCTAATAGTCTAATTGAATCCTGGCACAATAAATGGGTTGTTGTTGTGGCTTTTAACTTGCTTATGGAGTCATTAATAAAATTTCAATAATACAATTTATTCATAATTTTAGCCATGAATATTGATATTTATGTATAAACTCTACAATATACTTGTTAGAATAGTAGATAGAGAGAATAACATGTATTGTATTGAATGAATTGTATTGAATGATATGTCTTATATAATAGAAGGCATGTGTATATAGGCTGAGAAATAATATTCTACTAGAAATCTGAATGGTGGGGGTAGGTGAGTGGTGAGTGGTGAGTGGTGAGTGGTGGTGGCGGGTGGGTGGCGGGTTGATGGTGGGTGATAGTGGTGGTGGTGGTTGGGTGGTGGTGGTGCAAGTGGGTAGCAGGTGGCTGGTGGGTGGCTGGTGGGTGGTGAGTGGTGGTGGCAGGTGGTGGTGAGGAGTGGGTGGTGGTGGCGGAAGACGATGGTGGAAAATGGTGGCGGGTGGTGGCTAATATTGGGTGATAAAAAAAAAACTGAAAGCTCAAAATAGAAACACATTTTTTGTGTTTTTATTTTTTAGCCAAATTTATAAACTGAGACCACTGATTTACAAATCAAAAATTTTACCAAATAAGTTTTTATTTGAGTTTTTAAAATTTTTATAAATATAAACAAAAAACTGAAAACGTGTTATCAAAATTGACAAAATTAAAAATTTAGGTAACAATTTTTACTATGATCAAACTTTAGGGGGTTTTATGTAATTTTCCCTTGTTTTTTTGTAAGGCTTAAAGAGTGATAATGATCATATAATGAAGCAGGCAGTCAACTACATGAAGAAATTCATAGAAGTGTGAGAATATTGTGTATATATGTATATATGGCAGTGTAGTGAGATTGTGATTTGTTTCCTTTATAGTATTGTGATTCATTTCTTTTTTAGTCTTAAGGTTAGGAATACTGTGTGAGCCTAAGATATAATTTTTCATTCACTTTTCCATCTATATCCTATCATTTCTAGATTATTTTCACATCTTCAGTAGGGTGAATTACATTAATACTCCCTATAGTTTGGGGCTTGTGTCACTTTGGTTCCTGACTTTTCAATTGTGACACATTTGACCATGAATTTTGAATTTTGTTCCAAATAAAGACAATTAAAGATATCATTAGATTTTTTAAGGGTAAAATCAAAATTATAATGAAAATAAAGCAGCCAAAAAAATATCAATCAATAGAATCAATAATTTTGGTCAGATTCTTTCTTTTCAATTAAAACAAATACAGTTACGGAAAAAGGACCAAGAAACATCTTTGTTTTAGAGATCAATCGACCTGGGAAAAAATAATGAAAAATGTTGGTTAAAAATCCATGCTTGAAAAATACATTGCATCAAAATACACAAAACTGCAGCGAAATCTGAGTCAAATTTCCATAAAATTCAAGAAAGAGAAACACAGAGACAGAGACATCAGACATATATGAAAATTGAGAGAAGCAATTACGCAAATTTCAATCATGTCTAACAAATTCAAGCAATAAGGTAAAGATATAAACATATATATACATATATATATATATATGACCTTGGAAGGTAGGGGAACAGGAGCTGCCATGTCCCACGTCAAGCGAGGTCTCTTCCTGGGGCGCTTATCCATGTTTTTGTGAGGAAATTCTACGATCCTCTGAGTCTCCATTTATGAATTGCACACAGACAATGATCGAAGAAAATTACACATCAAAACGAGTTAAAGATACCAAAAAAATCGAATTCGAATCGAAATTTACAGGAATTGGTGATGAAAAATCCAGGGAGATTCGTCTTTGGAAACCCTGGTTTTATACAGATCTGGAAGAGACAGAGAGAGGTATCATGGTTCCTGATTCCTTGATCCAGAGTAGCTGTGGAAGAACTAACCACGGTATGTTGTGACCAAGGTTAGTTTTTAACCATGGTTTAATAGTGGGTAGGGTTATGGTTATGGAAAGTTTTTGTGGATAAAGTGACCCGTGGGCTCGCGTTTGGACCATTCAGACGCGTGGCCTGATTTTGGGACACGTGTATTCGAGCCTTTAATGGGGTCGTTTAGGAGGCTTTTCCATATTAAATCTCTTTTGCATCTTATTTTTCAAACTAGGCTTAGTTTGGACGGATTTTTCAAATTAGGCTAAAGTTCTATTACAAATCGCGCTTTCACTGTTTGGAGCTCAAAATTTGATGAATAGTGAAAACGCTATTCAAAAACGCGCTTTTAATTAAGAAAGCGCTGTTTCAAATCACGCTTTTAACATAAAAAAAATTTCTGAAGAAAACGCTATTTGAAATAGCGCTTTCACTGTGCATATGACGAAATCACTGTTCCAAACCACGCTTTTATCGTGCGTATCTGTTTTCTTAAGAAAATGTTTATAATATATTAAAATGTGATCAATATAAAACATAAGTGCTTTATAACACAAATGGTTTTGCACCACAATGGCGTGAGTTCAATTCGCAGGAGTTGCTACCTTTCAATTAAGTTCATCTTTTTTTTTTCTTTTTTTTTTTCACTCACTCTATACTTTATATATTTATTATGTAATTTTTTTATCAAAAAAAAGTAAAATGTTTGTTTGGTTAACTAAAAATCAACTCTATAAAATACAATTTTTTTTCAAAATGTCAACGTGATTGTTTAAAAAGTATTCAATGTATTTGGTTTGAATTTTTTGGATTTAGTTATTTGAAAATTGAGTTTTTTTATTTTCGTATTTTTTTTGTTTTTAGTAAATATTTTAAAAATTTTAAACATTTTTTTTTTTTACTTTTTTAGATGCACCTTAGTTAGATGTATCTAAAAAGTAAAAAAATTGTGAAAAAATATTTTAAAAAATTAATAAATACATAAAAATACAAAAAATATACTGAAAAAATATTTTTGTATTTTTAGTATCTTTTCAGCAAATTATCATTTTTTTTCAGCAAAATGTACTCAAAAAAATATGCACAGTGAAAGCGTACTCAAAAAATATTTTTTCAACAAAATGTACGCTTTTAAAATATTTAGTACATTTTAAAAGCGTACATTTTTTTATTTTTTCATAAATATATAAAGTATAGAGTGTATTTTTTGTATTTTTGTATTTTTTCACTCACTCTATACTTTATATATTTATGAAAAAATAAAAAAATGTACCCTTTTAAAATATTTTACGTACATTTTTTGAATACATTTTGCTGAAAAAATTAATATTTTGTATTAATTTTTTCAGTATATTTTTTGTATTTTTGTATTTTTTCACTCACTCTATACTTTATATATTTATGAAAAAATAAAAAAAATGTACACTTTGAAAATATTTTAGTACATTTTAAAAGCGTACATTTTGCTGAAAAAATATTTTTTGAGTACACTTTCACTGTACATATTTTTTTGAGTACATTTTGCTAAAAAAAATGATAATTTGCTGAAAAGATACTAAAAATACAAAAATATTTTTTCAATACATTTTTTATATTTTTATGTATTTATTAATTTTTTAAAATATTTTTTCACAATTTTTTTACTTTTTAGATACATCTAACTAAGGTGTATCTAAAAAAGTAAAAAAAAAAATGTTTAAAATTTTAAAAATATTTACTAAAAACAAAAACAAAAAAATACGAAAATAAAAAAACTCAATTTTCAAATAACTAAATCCAAAAAATTCAAACCAAATACACTGAATACTTTTTAAACAATCATGTTGACATTTTGAAAAAAATTGTATTTTATAGAAAAAAATTTTAGTTAACCAAACAAATATTTTACTTTTTTTTGATAAAAAAATTACATAATAAATATATAAAGTATAGTGTGAGTGAAAAAAAAAAGAAAAAAAAGAAAAGAGTTGAACTTAATTGAAAGGTAGCAACTCCCGCGGATTGAACCCACGCCACTGTGATGGCAAAACAACTGCATTACCATTTGTGCTACAAAGCACTTAAGTTTTACTTTGCTCACATTTTAATATATTTTAAACATTTTCTTAAGAAAATCGCTATTTCAAATAGCGTTTTATTCACAAAACGAATGCACAGTGAAAGCGCTATTTCAAATAACGTTTTCTTCAGAAAAAAAAAATTATGTTAAAATCGCGATTTTAAATAGCGTTTTCTTAATTAAAAGCGCGATTTGAAATAGCGCTTTCACTATTCATCACATTTTGGGGTCCAAACAGTAAAAGCGCGATTTATAATAGCGTTTTAGCTTAGTTTGGTAATTTCGTCCAAACTAGACCTAGTTTGGGAATTAAGATGCAAAATAAGCTTAATATGGGAAGGCGTAATTTGGGCGGGCTTAATCCAAGCAATTTAAATTCAGTCTGAATTTTTTTAAGGTTTAGATAAGATATTTTTAAATTTGATACGGGTTTAGATAAAAATTCAGAAGGTCGAATTAAATTTGGACGGACTTGGGTAAAAACATCAAACAACCCGAGCAACTCGAAATCCGAATTATATATATATATATATAAAAATATAAAATATATGTATAAATTATTAGTCATTACATAATATTAAAATAATTTAGATTATTAAATCATATTAAATATGTATATTATATACACAAATAACATAAAATCTTTTTTTTTTCACTCATAAATTATAAAGACTATTATAACGGCATCTCTCTTACATTATATAAATTATTTGTTTTGATAGTATTAATGATTTTCTATATATATAAAAAAAAATATAAATAGAGTCAAATTTTAATAATTTAATAATGTAGTTGAAAAAAAAAAATACAATTCGGACAATTCGGGTTTAACTCGGGTTGTGCTTAGGCAAGCAACTTCGGGGTTACAATTCGGGCTTGGACGGGCTGGGCAGATCTCAACACAACTTAGACTGGGCTTGGATAACCTCTCAATCGGACAGAATCCATCCGAGTTGCACTCCTATAACCCATATAAAGGGTTTTCCTTTTCTAGAGCTAAAAATGATTGAGAGTTTTAATAAAGTAATTTTAATAAGTTTTAATGGGAGTGAATTCTATTATAATATGAAATTTTAGTTTTGATTTTTATTTTTTTTATTCTTTACTATATCATTAAAGTTCAATTAAAATTTCAAAATTAGAGAGATGTATCATTATTTTTCTAGAGCCATTGAGGCTTATTTTGACAATTTAAAACAAAAAAAATTAGCTTGTTGATTTATTGATTTATTGGAGTTATATATATATTTTTTTGAAAAGTTAAATTTTTTTTTGAAAGTTAACCCTTTTTTTCTTACTTTTCAAAATAGGTCTTAAATTGGGCTTCTTTTTTTATTTTAGGTAAAATTAGATTGGGCTTTCATAACTCAAGTACTTGGGCCTAGATAGCTAGTTGGTAACTAATGGCTCTTTGTAGCCCATTTCACTCTTTTGTTCGTCCACTCGATTTGCTTTAGTGTTAATTTTAGAATACCTATTCTTATTAAGTGAGAGCTTAAAAGTCTAGTAAAACTTTCTTCTTCTCATATTACGAGACAACTTTACATATGTTAAAATAAAAAAAATTATTATACACAAGGTAAATAAATTTTGAATCAAAGATTTTGAATTTCATTAATAACATATTTATTACTTAAGCAACATACATATTATGATATTAAATTCTTTATTATTTATTTTTATTATTAGTCATCTGAATTGTACACGTATCGCGTGTGTCACCTGCTAGTTAAAGTTAATTAAAACAATTGCAAATTAGATAAAATATTCTATTATTTGTATAAGGGGGAGAGAAAGAGAGATGAGATGAGCCAGAGAGGGTTTAAACAGTCAAATTAGAGTTAGATTGAGGAAGAGTGTTAGAGAGTTTGATAAGAATTTGTAATTTATTCATTTCATTAACAAATTGAGTAATTTTAAACCGCAAGTTAAATTCACCAGTAAAATATTATCAAAATTGTCCCAATTTGCTCCACCCACAATTATAGACTGCTTAGATTGATGTGGCCTAGTGCGATAGAAATAGATTGTACCAACTGAACTTTTTCTGGCACAATTCAACCAAATTTAATAAATATTACTTCAAACTAATTAGGTTATGCAACAGTGTTATATCTACACAATTTCTCTCCTTCACAATCCTCCAATGAGGTGGCAAGATATATATATGTAAAGAGAGTTTTGAGAGATTTGGAGTGTTGGGTCAACTTTTCAAATTTTGTTTGGCACATCATTTGGAGGGATTTGGGAGGGAAATTTTGTGTGTATGAATTATTTTTCTATGTTAGTTAGTCACTCTTATACACCCAAGAGGTTAAGGAGTTTTTTTTTTTTTTTTTAAAATAGCAAGAGATTAAATAATTTTTTTTATTTGATTTATAAAGATATTACAATGAAACCAAATGAATTAACCTTTCATGTTTCGGTTGTATTTTCATTAGAGTTCAAACATTTGGCTAAGGATTTTGGATTGAGATAGGGTCTCAATCCCAATTTTTGCTATGTTAAGAATTGTGATGAAGTGGAATTTCATTCTTTTTGAGTGATTTCTACTTTTAGATGACTCAATCAAAATGTATCTCAATGCTCATTTGTGAGAAGTTGCTTTTGAGTTTTGGTTATGATTTTATTGCAAGTTTCTTCATTTGAATGATTCATAAGTTCATTGTAAATCAGAACTGCTTCAATCATTTCTTTAGATAAAATTGTAAATATCATAAAACTGGATGCAAGTAAAATTGAATCATTGTTACTCAAAATGTCCATGCGAACACTTTAAAACTGACCCTTATTACTCTTAAGAACAATGATTTATAATGAAAAATGAGGCCAAAAGTGACTAATAAAATAGTGTACATAAAGTCCTTTAGAATAAACAAACCCAATCAAACACACTCACTCCATTATCAAAATCAAGAATTGTCCATTTACATCAGACCCAATTCCTATTCATATTAGCTTAGCAAACAAATTATGCATAGAATTGCAAACCACTTCCATTGGCAGGTTGCCCTCCATGTTCGACATCAAGCCCGATCCCATGTGCCAAATTCGATGTATGACAGACATTGTGGTATGAAGAACAAAAGGAATTTAAGATTTCACAGTCTGAATTGGACTCGATTTTCTGAAGAGATGGGAATGTCGAGGGAGGACTATGCCACAAAGGAAGAGGCCCTGCAACGAGGAGCGTGTGGAGCAATGGCCCGGCCTCAATCACAGTTTGCAGGAGCCTTCCTTTGTGTGGCAAAGGCCTTCCCTTGACAAGATTGTCAATCACTGCTAAATCAGGATCAATCATTGAAACCAACCCATTACTTGGATTGATCAAGTTCGGGTTAGATAGGTCTGGAGAAGAATTGGCAGTGAAGAAGAGGCAATCAACTGCAGAGGAATCAATTGAGTCCACTTTGTTGACAAGTCTTTGCAGTTGATCTCTCGCTTCGTCTCTTTCTTGGCAAACTCTCTGCAATAATTGATGTAACTGCTTTATGCTGTCATCGAATTTTATCATGGCTTCTTTCGCTTTGGTTCTTGCAGTTTCTAGCTCGAAGTTGGTGCAGAGGATTTTGTGCTTGAGCTCAAGTATACTCTGTTGAAGTACAATTCATAATTTGGTTAGAAACCTGAGTCTCTATAATAATTGGCAATGGCATAAGCATAAACCCAAGTTTTTGTTGTATTCGGATGTTACCCCATTTTTATTTTAAATATGGGTCCGGCTATATAACTTACAAGCCTTCCCTTATGAGATGAGTTTATAATTAAAAAGTCAAAAAATAATTATAAATTGTCAGATTAATATATATTTTTTGTTATAAAAAATCAAAAATTAACTAAAATAACTAATTTCTAAACGTGGGCTGGCTAAGTATTGAATCCAAATTATATATCAATTTTCTGGACAACTTTTCTGATTTTCTAACTTCATTGAAAAAGCAAATACATATCCAGTGGCAAAGAAGATAGATCATGCCAAACCCATAAAGATTAAAGTTTTAACGAAAAGAAAAAAGAAAAAAAAAAAAAAGAAATGAGTAGAAACAAACACACCCTCCCGAAATATTCACCCACCTCTTGGTAGTCCCATAGGGAATAATCCATTTCTCTCCTGCCTTGCTTTCTTTCTCTGAAAAGAACAGAGGACACTTGAATGGTAGACTTTTGAGGCATTTACATACAAACAATGCAATATATATAGATATCTATGGAAAGGGGGGTGATATATTGCAGGAAGGAAGGAAGGAAACTTCCAGAGAAGAGAGGGAAAGCGTGTTTGAAGAAAATAAGGAATGTAAGAAACATACTATTTACTACTGATAAGAGAGAGGGAGAGAGTATATTCATGTTCAAATGTCTCTCTCACTCAGCCATCACTGTCTGAAAAAAAAAAAAATTCTCCCTTGCCTTCAGGGATCCCCTGTCCCCTCTATCCATACCAATCACTTTCATATCTATGTAGTCGGGTCTAATTGGGTTGGCCGGTGAGAGATATCCTAAATTATTTATAAAAAAATAATGAAAATTATATAGAAGTCCTCGCTTTAGATCTACTTTTTAAATCTTAATGTGTAAGATAGATGATTGACTGATAATTAAAAAATATATGAGAAATAAAATTATTTTAGATATTTTAATTGATTGTTATATTATTAAATTTAAAAATTGAATATAGCTTTTAGATTTGAATAACAATGCTCAAAAAATAATATATGAGTTTGTACATAAATATAAGAGTTGTTTTTTATATTAGTTATTTACATTTATCTTTTAATTTTTTATAAAAAGACATGCAAAAAAGTAAATATAATAATTGACTTTTTTTATAATACTTTGATTATTGTAGTTTGTTTCCCAACCTGTCCTGGATTTTTTTTATTCATTATTATTTTAAGAGCTTAAAAAAGGTTAAGTTTAGAAACAGCAATAGAATCAGACACATATAACATATTGGCGGACAATTTGTTTTAGAAGTGGTCTTACCAATAAATTATATTAAATCTTGTTCATATTTCATGTTTCTAACATGGTTATAAAAAATGAAGCTTGAAATCTTAATAAGGGCAGAAATTTGTCCCATGTTCCTTTAATTTATTTAAGTTTGGTTTATATAATTAATTCTTATTTTTTCTTCTTCTTTCTACTACTCAATACTGGTTAGTTTTTTATTAGATTATTCTAAAATCTTAAAAGAAGGTTTTAAAATTGAAGGACAATTCTCTTATACACTTAATACCATATATATCTCTAATTATATTATTTTTTTCATTAGTTATGATTTATTTTCTTTTTTAGTTATGATATTATTTTGAGATATTTAGTTATAAATTTTTAGGAAATTGATCAGTAAATCCTGTTTTGTGGACTTATAATCCATAACGTCCTATATATATGTTTTTTTGGTGACTGAGTGATCCCTTAAATTATTTGTTGACTATTTTGCCATTGTTAGTATTGTTGGGGGACATTTGGCGTGGTTATATATAGGGAATGTGGTGGGATGTTTGTGTGTCACGTTGTTTGAAAAGTGCACTAGTATCTTTTTAAAGTTTAGTTGTTTTTAACACGCGCAGTGTGAGATATGAATTCCTTACTAATTGTTTTTTTGACGCGTGACATAAAGACATGTAGTAATTTAATTAAATTGGATCCGCCATGTTAGAGTGTCACATGTCACGCTTAGGAAAAGTACATTAAGGAGTTTTTATGTGTGGGGAAGGTGGTGGGTGTTTGTGTGTCACGTTTTTCACTAGTAGCTTTTTAAAGTTTGATTGTTTTTAACACGCGTAGTATGAGATGTGAATTCCTTACTAATTGTTTTTTGGCGTGTGACGTGAAAACATGCAGTAATTCAATCAAATTGGGTTTGCTACGCTAGAGTATCACAGGTCACGTTTAAGAAAAGTACACTAAGAAATTTTTAATTTTTTTAAAGTGTCACAACATCCCCGCCACGTTGTTACATTTGAAAAAAGTATACTAATGAGTTTTTTATATTTTTTAGTGTCATTTCATATCTACCACACATTTGAAAAAAGTATACTAAGGGTGAGTAAAAATTCTAGAGTGTCACATCATACTTGTTACGTTGTCCCAACGTTAGAGTGTCACATTAATACCTATTACATTGGAGTATCACACCATACGTGTCACACATTCCAATAAAAAAAAATTCTCCAATTAACTAGTGAGGGTATATCTGTCTAACCAATACCTATCCACATTTGAAAAATGATTTACTGGTCACACACTACACCTAATAAAGACTCCTCAATCAATCATTTAAAACATTGGACCAAATGGTACAAAAGTTCTCAAAATAGGACTTTTCAATAAATTTCTCTTAAAAAAATTAACTAAAGATAACATAATTTAAAAATTATTTTTAAAAACTCAAAACTAAGCATATTTATGCTCAAAAATTTACCCTCTTTGGTTTTTTTTTTTTTTTTTTAAAAAAAAAATGCTAGTGTTAATATTTCTATCAAATGTTTGCGTCCCATGCCTATAGTAAAAATATTAATAAAATTTTTAACATTATTCTTTTTCTTTTTCTTTTTTAAGGATGGAATTATTAATAAAATTTTTAACATTATTAGCTTGCTTGGTTGTGTTTTTTTAAAAACACTTTTCACAAAATTTTATTTTCTTATTTTTCGTATTTTTTTGTTTTTATTGAATTTTTTAAATATTTTAAGCAATTTTTTAGTAAAAATTTGTGAAAAAAACCTTTTAAAAATTCACTAAATACCAAAAATACAAAAAAAAAAATACGAGAATTCAGTATATTTTTTATATTTTTATATATTTATTAAAATTGTAAAATATTTTTTCACAAAATTTTTACTTTTTAAATACATCTAAGTAAAGTGCATCTAAAAATGTAAAAAAAAATTTAAAATTTTAAAAATATTCACTAAAAACAAAAAAATACGAAAACCAAAAACTGAATTTTTAAAAAATTTAATCAAAAAACTCAAACAAAACACACTGATTCTTTTTCTTTCTTTTTTTAAGGATGGAATTAGATCATAGTGGGGTTAGAAATTTTTTTTTTGAGCGGTGCTAGCAGCTTACCATTTATTATTTGAGATCTCTTATTTTTTAAATCTCTATTTATAAATTTTGAAATTTTTAAAATTTCTTTTTTTTTTTTTTTTTTGTGGTGGTTTTTGAAAATTCAAAAGCACAAGGCACCTTTTTTAAGGTTTGAAAAAAATATAGTTGGGCCATATTTTTGACATAATTATATTTAACTTTTTTTTATAAAGTGGTCGAAACTAATACAGATGATGGGTGAATACTGAAATAAATAAAATAAATATATATTTATATAGAGAAATGATGATAACAATATTTTTTTATTTATACGACTAGCAAATTATTAATAAAAAATAGTCTAACTATTATATGAATTAAAATCTCAAAATAGATTAATATAATTGTATCAAAATATATGCTTTTTCACAAACTTCAGGATACATGAATGTGATTTAGCCGAAACAAAAACATTAAAAAAAAAGAAGAAGAAGATAAATTACAAATACACTTTTTAAGATTTGTTTAAAATACGGATTATCTTTTATGATTTGAAAAATTATAAATACTCCCTTTTAAAAAAAATGATTTAACATAATTAATTGAAAAACTAAAAACTGCTCTCATAGGCACTGATAAAATTATTAGAATTATTAATTGATCATTAAAAATTGTTAATTAATTTGATAATTTATTAATAAAAGGCCTATTTATTATGAAATTAAAAATGTTAAAAAATGAGATATAATTTATAGAAGGACAAGAGAAAATTATATTTTAAGCAAATCGATAGAGGTGAGCATGGTCCGGATTGAATCGGATTGGGGTAAAATCAGAACCAATCCGTTATCTACGGTTTCTGAAAAATTGGAACCAATCAAATCCGTTTAAATCATGGAACCAATCCGAACCAATCCATTTAAATACGGATTGGATCGGTTTAGAACCACGGATTCAGATAATTAAATAATAAAAAAAAAACATGTTTTTCTATAATAGTGATATACTGTTCTAGAATTTAAACAACCATAAGAAAACTGGTTTCACCATAAGTATTTAGACCATTACAAATTAAAACTAAAAACTAACAAACAAAAGTAATAAAAGAAGATATTATACGATTTTAGGTTTGAATTTAGATTTTATATAGAATAAGAGAAGATACTATGGGGGAAGATGTATAATAAAAATATAGACTATTTGTATACGGTCCGAATCGGTTCCAATCCGGAACCGTGGGGTTCAATCCGGAACCAATCCGTGGACTACGGATTTTTAATTCTTCAATCCGGAACCGAATCGCGGATTTAAAAAACCAATCCAAACCTATCGGATTGGACTGGACTGGATCGGATCGGATTATGGATTTCACGGATTCCTTGCTCAGCCCTACAAATCGAGGAGTGTAGTTGTAATTTATCATTTTTAAGCATTCAGATTAGATGTGGACTTGGGGTCACTGCTGTGCTTTTGAAATGCATTATAGGCTTATTTTTATGATCTGAACAGTTCATTTTGTAGGATTTGTTGAGTACTTCAAACCTACAAAAAATCATATTAATCGGATATCAATAATTATATGGTCGAATTATATATTTTTATACTATTTTTCAAAAGAAAAACTTCTTGTTTATTTTTTTAGTTATCAATCATATAGTTATTGATATCCGATTAATATAACTTTTGGTAAGCATAAAGTACTCAACAACCTTATAACATGAATGGTTCAGATTATAAAAATAAATCCATAATGTACCACAAAATGAGGCACGACAGTCCCTACTGTGCCCCAATTCCGATGCCGCTGGACCTAGACCACAATATGGAGCCCAGATAAAGCCCAAGACCAAGTCGAGCATTAGATGAAACAGCACTGCGCCACCACCCCTACCAATTTTCTTCAGATTCACCGTCATATTCTCACACAGAAGTCGCTTCCTTTCCTTGCGAGTCTACAAAGAGAAACAGTACTTTACAGTTTTGACGGCCATGGCCATAGCAGCAACCACCTCACTTTCTCTCTCCTCCCCCACTCGCCGTTCTCTCTCCTCCTCCATCACCATCTTTCGCCAAACCTCTTTTTTCCTTTCTCTCCATCCAAACAGTCTCAGATCTACCACTGCTACTGCTCTACGATACCCTTGCCTTCGTATTTCAGCTTCTTCAATGAGCATCGAAGCCCCCGAGAAAGACTCGCGTACCTCTTTTCTCGATCGCAAACAAACAGGAATCCTTCACTTCGTCAAGTACCACGGCCTCGGCAACGACTTCATTCTGGTAAACCAAAATTTCATGCTTGGCGGCTGGGACAATACAGGAAAATTAGAGAATTCAAAAAAAAAAAAACAAAACAAAACAAAATTTGTGAATTTGGAGGCCGTTTGTTAGTAGCATTTTGTAATCACTTTAATTGATTTCGAAAGTAATTTTTCCTCCTTTTTTTTTTGGGATAATCAAATGTTATGTCGTTGATTAGTGTTTGGTTTCGTATTTGATATTGTTTAGGTTGATAATCGCGATTCAATGGAGCCTAGAGTTACTCCGGAGCAAGCGGTGAAGCTATGTGATCGAAACTTTGGAATTGGTGCTGATGGCGTGATCTTTGCTATGCCAGGGACCAATGGCACTGATTATACAATGAGGATTTTCAATTCTGATGGTAGTGAACCCGAGGTAATTCGATTTTCTTTGAATTTTTGATGCATTGTCTCGGTATTGAAATTAAGCTCAAATATATGCCCAATTATAAGTTAGTTTTTTTGATTACTTAAATTAAATGTTTGAACTAGATTACTTTCATGTTTATTTGATCACCAAGTGCTTACGTGGCTTGAGTTGAATATGCAATTGTGGACATTAGGTTCCTTTTGTCATAGATTAAACTATTTTTTTTGTTTTAAGATAATTAATTGTTTTTCTTGATATAGATGTGTGGTAATGGAGTCCGATGCTTTGCTAGATTCATTGCTGAGCTCGATAACTTACATGGGAGGCACAGGTATGGTTATAAGCTGCCTTCATGTTATGATATTTCCATTACCAAAATTTTACATGTGAACACAGCTCACTGTTGTCTCATACGCTAGTCAAGTTTTTAGAAATGTATTATTATGGCTCCGTTCATTGAATTTTTTGTCAGGGTTAGAGAAGTGACCTTTCATTTCTGGCTCTCCTCGTTTATTTCAGTTTTTGTGAAAGTTGATGAGATTTAATTCTAAAGTTTAACTTGGTCTATATGTAAAAATTGTCTTTCATGGATCCTTAACAGTTATGCTCATTAATTTGATATAGAAGTAACTTCTGTATAAGGATGTTGTAATTAGCAGATAGATATTTTTTCCAAACAAAAGATAGGTTGTTAGCAATTTTGTTATCCCATCAATACTAATGTGTTTTCATGCTATTAATTCTAAATCTTAAAAGATTTTGTAAAGTATCAAGTATAACTCTTGTTTTTCTCCCTGAAAATTTGCAGTTTCACTATACATACGGGTGCTGGTCTAATTGTTCCTGAAATTCAAGATGATGGGAAGGTAATTTCTTTAAAAATATTGAATTTATCAAATAATTTGGTAATTATCACTTTTTTTATTCTTCCATATTTTGTACCTGGAAATACTATACAAGACTATTGGAACAACACATTTATGTATGAATTATAATTCTCATGCCACTATTACATACATAGCTGGGACAATTTCACAAATCAATTTGAAAGTTCCAAACTATCCCATCATGATGCTCTTCTCCACCACCTAGCCCCTTCATCAGTTATATAGGTTTACTTGGTGGACCATTCTAGCATATTTTTCATTATATAGGTTTACTTGGTGGACCATTCTAGCATATTTTTCACAACTCATAATTTAGTCTTTCCTTGCTGTGCCATTTGACAATGCTATAAATTTTGTCTTGAATGCATTGAAAAAGCACGCCTATGATTAACATGGAAACTTCTTTCTTCAATCATAACAAACCAGCTCTTTTTTTTATATATATTTTTTATTATTATAAGTTCTACAATTTCTTGATACATTTTTGTTGCAAATTTTAGGTTAGAGTTGATATGGGTGAACCCATATTGAAAGCATCCAATGTCCCTACTAAGCTACCTGCAAATGAAGGACAATCCGTTGTAAAATCAGAACTTAATGTAGATGGAGTAACCTGGAATGTGACATGTGTCAGCATGGGAAACCCTCATTGTGTCACATTTGGTACAAAAGGAAGCCAGGTATGTATTCTGGTCAATTGTGAGAACAATTTATGAAAATCTTCCTCAAGTCTTGTTGAAGCGTTTGTTTTTTTGGTAATATCCTATTTTAAATGAATTTGGATAATGCTAACAATATAGTGAGTCACATGATTCACATCTTTTTTTCTATGATTAGGGACAATGTGAAAACTAATGAATTATTCTGAACAAGCCTTACGAACTTGTTTTATAAATTTAACCTTATTCAATGGTATTAATGAGCTACTTTTTAACTTCTGTTGAGCATTTTATGTGGAGTTTTATAATTAGTTTGGGTTATTCAGTGATGTACATCTGTAGCTGTTTAATCAATTAATCTTAAGCTAGTTGTCCTTGACATGGCAATTACCTAATGAATCTTTTCTAAAATCTGCCTTTTGGCGATGTCCCACACAGTAGTTAGAAATCTTTTGCAATCAATGGGGGAAAACATTGACAAATTGCATATATATTTCACAAAAGAATGTTTTTTTTTTTGGTTGTTGTAATATTTGTAATATTATACCTTTCTCATTTTTATTGCGTTGCTGAGTTTATGCTCTGCCCTTGGTGTCTTCCTAAATAGAATCTGCAGGTTGATGAATTAAATTTAGCTCAAATTGGTCCAAAATTTGAGCATCACGAGATGTTTCCTGCCCGAACTAACACAGGTCAGATTTTGCCTATCCTTGTTTAATTTTGTGTTTGATGCTAGTTTTGGAGCATGAGGTTCTAATCAAGCTACCCAAATTTCGTTGGCATGTTCTTTCTAATGAAATATTTACTCATTAGAAAGAACCCCATTGATGATATGTCTTTATGAACACAATAAAATTAGGGCTTTCTGTTTCCTTTTCTGGATGGATCTGCTAAACAAACTAAACTGAACCTGCAAATTAGTGGTAGCAAAGTCTTTAGAATTGTGAAGAAATCAGTTGCTTTGGAAAGCAGTTAGTTTCTTGAATTCCCTCATTTCTATGGGAGCTCTTCTTTTTGGTTTGTAGCCATTCTTCTTCTTTTTCTAATATTTTTAGAGAATATGTCTCTCTTGCTTGTTAGTTACATTATATGCGAGGTAAATGTGGTGTTCTAATGAGAATGATATATGCTACTTTCAATTGTTTTGGTGTTTCCCCCATTTTTCTTAATATTTTTTTTTCCCATTGTGTTACTTCATGCATTTTGTTTCATTGATCATTGTTATGTTGAATTTGCAGAATTTGTTCAAGTCTTCTCTCGTTCACATCTAAAGATGCGTGTGTGGGAGCGTGGGGCAGGTTAGCTTCCTTAGTTGAGGAATACATGAATGTGTGTCGTCGTTGGTGCTGCTTAATAAATATTCCACATCTATTTACTGGAAGACATGAATGAATCAACATTCCGCTAGTCTAGACTGACTCTCTCTCTCTCTCTCTCTCTCTCTCTCTCTCTCTCACAGTATCATCATCATTATTGGTGAAAAATGCAATCCCTCTTTTGTTGGTTATCTTTGAACCTTATGCTGGTGGCTTGTTGTAGGAGCAACACTTGCCTGTGGAACTGGAGCTTGTGCCGTGGTGGTTGCAGCAGTTCTTGAAGGTCATGCTGGGAGGGTAAGTTTTGGATGCCACGGTTCATTAAATATATTGAAGCTGTTCTCTGGAATTTCACACACAAAAAAAAAAAAAAGAAAAGAAAAAAATAAATGAAATGATCTCTTGTTTTTGGCATTTTAAGTAAGTGTGTTCTGTTGCACAATCTCTTCTTTAGGTTTTCAAGAGGGGATAACTACTGTTTTTCATGGCCCCTTCTACTGTTTTTGATAGTGGCCTAATTTGTTGTGATGGATTTGTATGCAAGGAAAAAGAAAAAGGAAAAGAAATGATAACGTTTCCTTATAGGCTTGTAGTTTCTGATGCGTTTCGCTCTTTATATTTGCACTCATGTCCGCTTGTTTGTTTTTTGCTCTCTCTCTCTCTCACTCTCTCTCTCTCTCTCTCTCTCCTTAAAGCAGAGTTGTACTGTTGATTTGCCTGGAGGGCCACTAGAGATTGAGTGGAGTGAGAAAGACAACCGTGTGTATATGACTGGCCCAGCTGAGGTAGTGTTCTATGGATCAGTGCCCCTATGATGTTATCTTCAATTTCTTCACATTCTGTGAAGATTGTTTGTAATAAACTCACCTGTACTTTGTAGAAATGAAAGATTTTAAGGTTTGAGTATGTTTGTCTGGCTTTAGGAGAGTTGAATGTCTGTAGCCATTTTTTTAAAGCTTTTTTTGGTATATCACAAGGGGATGGATTTTGCCCACTATTTCTCTTTAAATTGTAAAGTCATATTGGAGGGTTTGCCATCTTTTCTTCTAATTGTGTTATTTAAGATAGTGTTTGGTAGAGTTTTAGAATTATGATTTAAGAATAGAATTATATTTTGAATTTATGAGTTTTGAAATTATGATTTGAGTTTGAAAATTTTGTTTGATTATGAGTTTTGAATCGAGTTTGAAATTTTTGATGTGATACGGGATATTTGATTCAAAAACTTTCAACTCATAACTAAACATACAACTTAAAATTCAATTCAAAGGTTATGAAAAATTAAAAAAAATTATGAATTTTTTTTATTTAAAATATAAAAATAACAGGTGTAAAAAAAATAAAAAATAAAAAATAAAAAAATACGAAAACTATTCTGGTCAACCGTCCGAGGGGACGTTCAAGAGGATGACTGGGTAGACGAGTTTTTGCTAGTGGGCAATTTTTGAAACTTGTATCCAAACACAACACTCAAATATGAGTGTAGAATCATGTTTAAAACTCCGAGCCAAACACAACTAAAGTTTTATTTATTTATTTTTTATTTTTGAGTTTGTGGTTTAATTTCACGTCCTTCTCTCTCTCTCCCTGCGCTATCCAAAAGGCGACTTGAAGAGATTATTGTGATGTTATGAATGTTAATTTACACTTTTTTTTTCCTCTAATTATTGAACTTAACGAAAAGAAGAATTTCATGTTTTATATCTCATTAAAATGTATTGCCTGTTATAAAATTAATGAAATATTAAACACAGTATAGAGAAATATGTTCTTCAGGAACTTTATAATTACCCCCTTTCTTTTTAAGGGTTGACCTAATTAATGATCATCCAAGAATATTTTTATTTTAACTCATGCATATTTACAGCCCTCTCATTTCATTTTAAAACTCCAAGCCAAACACAACCAAAGTTTTATTTTTTTATTTTTATTTTTGAGTTTGTGGTTTAATTTCACGTCCTTCTCTCTCTCTCTCTGCGCTATCCAAAAGGCGACTTGAAGAGATTATTGTGATGTTATGAATGTTATTTACACTTTTTTTTTCCTCTAATTATTGAACTTAACGAAAAGAAGAATTTCATGTTTTATATCTCATTAAAATGTATTGCCTGTTATAAAATTAATGAAATATTAAACACAGTATAGAGAAATATGTTCTTCAGGAACTTTATAATTACCCCCTTTCTTTTTAAGGGTTGACCTAATTAATGATCATCCAAGAATATTTTTTATTTTAACTCATGCATATTTACAGCCCTCTCATTTCATTCTATTCACTTCTATATCTCACAACTGATAATTTGAATTTATAGTGGTACTTCTAAGGACTAAACTGCAAATAATTATCTTCATACTTGATATGTCAAGTGACCTGATGTTTTAGTAAGGGAAAATAACAATCACATAAGTCTGAAAAATAAATGTCAAATCATTAATAAATTTTACAGACATTAATATTTAAAGTTTCAAATTTTTTTTTGAACCTATAATTATTTTGAAAAGGTACCCATTGAATTGTAATTTCTCTCTTATTAATACATTTTATAACAGTACCCTTCTTATTGAAAATGATTTTGTTAAAAAAATTGTTCTTCTACATAAAAATGTGTATAATAAATAATGTAAAATTTTTTATGCATTTTTACCGTGTAATTGACAACAACACACGTTAACAAGGTTTATTAAAAAAGTAAAAGTATATTCAAAAATTTAATTTTATAATTCAATTATAAATGTTAATAAAAATTTATTGAATTAATGCAAAGCTTATAAAGGTATAATTTTCATTAGAATATTCACCATTTTTTTCTAATAAAAAAAAAAAAACCCTTTATTTTTCCAAACGCGCCGCTAATTTGAATTTTTATAAAAAGAGCCCACTTTTTGAAAATGGCGAAGACTCTGCGCTCTCATCCTCAACGGCTATCTACTACTACAAATACCTCAAATAGCCGTTGCAAGTCCCACTCTCTCTCTCTCTCTCTCTCTCTCTCTCTCTCAATTTTCAAGCACAGCAGCACACCGAAACACAAAATCCTATAGAGAGAAACAAAGAACTAGCGCTCATTCTAGGGTTTCAATCCAAATCAAGAACTCCAATCGGTAAATTCAATTTAACATGCATGTAGAATTTGATCTTTTTAGTATTTTTCATTTCCAAATGTTGATTTCAATTTTTTTAATATTTTTTATTTTTGTTAATGGCAGATTAGGAATGATGTCGCTCACTCCGGATCAATTTAGAAAAGTAGGGTTAGGGGTATCCCCATCTCCCTCACCATTTTACACTCCTAGACCTGAAAGGCGTCGTGCAGACTCCAGAGTGTTCGAATTGAACTCGAATAGGCAGGACAAAGAGCGGGAGGTCAACGTTCAAGTTCTGCTTAGATGCAGGTAAGTTCTGATTGATATATGTATGTATATGTGTACAAGTATAATGTATTTCAATTGTGTTTATGAATTTGAAATTAGAATACGATAAATGGGTGATGGTGGGTAGTTCAATTTTACACTCCGTTTGGATGAGTGATTTGGTCAGAAATGAAGAGAAACAAAACTTTTTTATCATGTTTGGTTAGTAAGTTAGATGAGAAATGGAGAAATTGGGTGATGGTGGGTAGTTCAATTTTACACTCCGTTTGGGTTGAGTGATTTGGTGAAAAATGAAGAAAAGGTAACTCTTTTATCATGTTTGGTTTATAAGTTAGATGAGAAATGGAGAGAAATTGTGAGAAATGTAACTCTCTTGTTTCATAGGTTTCATTTCTCACCAAAAGTGGTGAGCGGTAAGAAACAATTTGATGGGTAGTTCAATTTTATACTCCAGTTGAATTGAGTGTTTTGGTGAGAAAGGAAGAAAAAGAGAACTCTTTTATTGAGTGATTTGGTGAGAAATGAAGAAAAAAATAACTCTTTTTATCATGTTTGGTTTATAAGTTAGATGAGCAATGGAGAGAAATTGTGAGAAATGTAACTCGTTTTACAGGTTTCACTTCTGACCAAAAGTTGTGAGATTTGGTGAGAAACAATTTGATTGGTCGTATAGTTTTTATAATACCGAGATTGCCCATTAAAATACAAACGGATAAAAGATAAATCTCACCTACATCTCTATATCATACACTTTTCTTTCTTACTCATTGAAACATGATAGCAAGAAAATATAATCTTTTCTTCTCTTTTCTCACCTAGGTGAGAGAATCATTTCTTTCCTTTTCTCACCCTACGATAATACTCACCTCTGATTTTTATACTTTTTTTTTTCTTTCTTCTTTTTCCTTTTTTTTACTTTTAAGATGGGTTTTATTGACATGTGGAAAGTAGATTGAGAAATTAAATAAACAATTTATAGGTTACAATCTTAATGGGGATCAATTTCATAATTTTTGTAATGACATAGATACTGTTTCTGCAGCAGTAATGTTTTGGTTCATAATTTTCACATACAACTTCAATTTTTAGGCCATTAAGTGATGATGAGCAAAGGTTGAACGTGCCAAGGGTAATAACATGTAACGAGCACAAAAGAGAAGTCAATGTTCTGCAAAGTCTAGCTAACAAACAAGTAGATAGAATTTTCACCTTCGATAAGGTATGCATCTTTCTCTTAATGAATATCAAAGTCCAACGTTAATAATATGTTTTCCTACATTTTATTAACTAATCTTGCTTGGATAATTTTCTAAGGTTTTTGGGCCCAAAGCACAGCAAAGATCAATATATGATCAAGCCATTGTCCCTATTGTAAATGAAGTTCTTGAAGGCTTCAACTGCACTGTCTTTGCATACGGGCAGACAGGCACTGGCAAAACATATACAATGGAAGGAGGGATGAGGAATAAGGTATTAAATTGTTTTATGACTTCATACTTACTTCAATGACCCACAACAATTACTTACTTTTTCTCTGGGCATGCAAAATTCTGTTTCATTTGTCATAGGGTGGTGAACTGCCTGCTGAAGCTGGTGTTATTCCAAGAGCAGTTCGCCAAATTTTTGATACGCTGGAGGCACAAAATGCTGACTATAGTATGAAAGTGACCTTCTTGGAACTTTACAATGAAGAAATTACTGATCTTTTGGCTCCCGAAGACTACTCTAGGACTTTTGAAGACAAGCAAAAGAAACCCATTTCCTTGATGGAGGATGGGAAGGGCTGTGTGATTTTAAGAGGCCTTGAAGAAGAGGCTGTATACAGTGCAAATGAAATTTATAATCTCCTGGAGCGAGGAGCAGCCAAAAGGCGTACAGCAGATACCTTGTTAAACAAACGCAGCAGGTAGGCATTATTTGTTAATGATAATATTGAATTTAGAAAATCCATAACAAATGGACCATGTTTTTCTGTTGCAGCCGTTCTCATTCTGTATTTACTATAACCATCCATGTAAAAGAAACAACTGTTGGAGATGAGGAGCTCATTAAATGTGGCAAGCTTAATCTTGTAGATTTGGCAGGATCAGAGAATATTTCTCGTTCAGGTGCACGAGAGGTATGATAATAGCTTAGATTTTGCTCTGGAAATTGTTTTTTAGGTCATTTACAAAATTTGGACAGGGCCATACAATTTTTTTTCTGTCCACCCCTGCTTCACCACCATATATATATATCTATTATAACTGAGAGAACATCCCATTCCTTTGGTTTGATCCTTCTCATTAAAAGGCAGCATGCTTGAATTATGAATGTTTTCACTCGAATAATGAAAAATGTATTGTTCTTTTGTTTTAAAACCTTATGAAGATTACAAAGATTAGCCATAGCATGAGAATGCTCTTTTTGTATTCTTTTCCCAATATTTGGTGTCTAATAACACTTGAATTTCGTACTTGAATGCATTTCAATATCATCTTGTCAAATAACTGACAGCCTTGCACTTCAGTTTACGATTATTAGTCTATTAATTCTACACTTGGAATAGCCATGTAATTTTTAAGAAGTTTTGTGATTTTCACACAGGGCCGTGCAAGGGAAGCAGGAGAAATAAACAAAAGTTTACTCACTCTAGGCCGTGTCATAAATGCACTCGTGGAACACTCTGCTCATATACCTTACAGGTTTTTGCTGATGTCATTTATTTCCATCCCCCATTTGTTGATGGCTTTTATTTTTTGTTAACATCCTCCTCTGTTACCATGATGCAGGGACAGTAAGTTAACAAGGTTGCTAAGAGATTCACTGGGAGGGAAAACAAAAACTTGCATCATTGCAACAATTTCTCCAACTGCTCAGTGTTTGGAGGAAACTTTAAGCACGCTAGATTATGCCTGTCGTGCTAAAAATATAAAGAACAAGCCAGAGGTATGCTTGGCTATTTCGTTTTCCTGATTTTGTGTTTCTTTTGTTTGTGTACTTTCTGTTGAATTAATAGTAAAACTTACTTTGCAGGCAAACCAAAAAATGTCCAAAGCTGTGCTGCTCAAGGATTTGTACTTGGAAATTGAAAGAATGAAACAAGGTTTGATAATTCACTTGCATTTAGTAATTATTGTGTAACAAATATAATCCAGGCTAATATTTTTCTTTATTAAAACCAAACAGATGTTAGAGCAGCTAGGGAAAAAAATGGCGTATATATTCCACATGAGAGACATGCTCAGGATGAAGCTGACAAGAAGGTAATTGTTACAACAGTCTTATTCTCTGAGTTACATTTGTTGCTATAAGTAGACATATGCAACATAGACAGTGAGTGAGACATTATAATGTAGTTTTAATAACTTAACTTCTAAACCTGTAGGCAAAGAATGAGAAGATAGAGCAATTGGAGATTGATCTAAACCTCAGTGCGAAGGTATGACTTGGTTGGTTTATTTTGTTCTCTCTAAAATCATTTGGACACCTTTATAAATAATTGTTTATATCATTGTTGCAGCAAGTTGATAAATTTCGAGAGCTCTATCTTACAGAGCAAGAAGAGAAATTAGAGTTAGATAGTGAGCTCAATTGTTGCAAGGTATAAACCATCGCTTGCACTGGAATTTTTGGTTTTGCTACTTAATTGCTTACAGTCATGTATCTGATCTCAACTTATTCCTTCAGATAAATCTGGAAAACAGTAACAAGGTCTTGGAGGATCTTCAAGAGAAACACAAGGTGGCCATTTCAACACTCAAGGAAAAGGAGTTTATCATCTCCAAACTTTTCCACTCAGGTAAATATACTGAGTTACATTTCACATATCATATACCTCATATTTGCATAATGACTGATTCAGAACAATGTGTGAAATTTTCAATGTACAAACAGAAAATTCGTTAATCGACCGTGCGAAGGAGATGCGTGCCAATTTGCAAATTGCATCAGAAGACATATCTGCTTTGTTTGCAAAATTAGGTATTTAAAATGTTATTTATTTATTTATTTTCATTTTGAATGTTGTTTGATAGCTGTTGGTCATCAATCTTTTCCTTTTCAAGGAAATGATTTCTGTCTTTAATAACTGGAGAAGTGTTCTGATGATTTTTATTTTTTATTTTTGGATAACATGTTATGTGAAAATAAGAAACTAAGCAGCATCTCTTATTGCCCATATGTTTTTTGAACTTGTACGTGCTTAAATGCGTTAATGTGCTTCTTTCTTGTGCTTTAGCTGCATTGCTTTCAGGCACTCACTGACATTACAAGTTCTACAGATCAGAAAAATAAATTAGAAGCAGAAAACCAAGGGCTGCTTCTGAATTTTGGTTCACAGCTTGATCAGAGCTTAAAAGACCTGCACAAGACCATCTTGGGTTCAGTTTCTCAACAACAGCAACAATTGAGATGCATGGAGGAACATGTCTCTTCATTTCTTGCTAGTAAATATGACGTATGAACTGAAAGCTGATGTCTCTTTCATATGTTAAACTTGCCAGTTAATTTTGTTAATCTTACATCGTTTTCTCTCAGGCCACTCGGATACTAGAATCTAGGATTAATAAATTGACGGAGATAAATACTTTGGGAGTGACAACCTTGAAGGAGCTGGCTGATTCATTACAAATGAAGGCTACTTTGGACCTCGAGCAGATAAAGTCTACAATGTCATGCCAAATAAGTGCACTTGAAAATGTATGAAGTAACAGGAAACAAGCTTAAATAGTTATAAAATACTGATAAAAATATCATGCTAAGTTAAATGTTGTGCTTTTATTTACAGTTTCTCAAAACTGTGGTTTCGGAGGCCAAGTATGTTGTTTGTGATATCCAAAATACTCTTAATGAGCAAAAGCAGATATTGGCTCTCTCAGCTCAACAACAACAAGAGGTATGTGCATTTGTATTATTTGTCTCCCTGATGTTTAAACTTTTTTCTTTGATCATGTCGATCCTAATTTGTTAAAGCATGTGGAAAATGTAGGGATTGCATCGGAGTATGGCTTCAGCAGAAGTGATTTCAAGAGCAACAATTGATTTCTTTAATGACCTCAGCCATCGTGCTTTTCAACTCAAGGCACTACTTGAAGAAAGCCAAATTGATAAATCTCACCAACTGGCAACTTTTGAGAGGATGTTTAAGGTGGGGTATGCCTTGAGAATGCAGTTTGGACTTCCTACAGTAATAAGGGTTAAAGGAGTAATGCTACCCCTAAAACATTAGCCCTGAGATTACCCATACTGATGTGAATCTTATTTGGTTGATTCACAAACTAAATTTAGGGATGATGTTTTAGGGGTCTAAAGCATTTTCTGGGATTGAAGTATATTGAGTTTGTTTTTTGCTTTGCTGCTAAACAGGAAGAGGCTGCTAGAGAAGAGAAGCAGGCAATGGAAAAAATTGCGGCAATATTAGCATCTCTTACAGCTAAGAAAACAGCTATGGTGAGTATTTTTTTTACTACATTTCTTGCCAAAATTAATAGGTAGAATTGTTTGCTTGACATGGATTGAAGTATATTGAGTTTGTTTTTTTCTTTGCTGTTAAACAGGAAGAGGCTGCTAGAGAAGAGAAGCAGGCAATGGAAAAAATTGCGGCAATATTAGCATCTCTTACAGCTAAGAAAACAGCTATGGTGAGTATTTTTTTTACTACATTTCTTGCCAAAATTAATAGGTAGAATTGTTTGCTTGACATGTAAGAACCATATATCAGGTTTCGGAGGCCTCAAGGAACATTGAGGACTCCACTACACAAGGGAATAAGAGATTGCTGCAAGGAATATTCAGTATGCAACAAGTTTCAGGCGACGCAAAGGAGGAGGTGAATGTATACCTAGAGAAGGTGAAAAGACATTTTTTGGAAGACACATTTACATCTGCTGAAACTAAAGCTACAATGGAAAGTTGCCTCCAGGAATGGTATGCTTACATTTTTCTGTTTGTAAATTTTGGTGTGCAGGAGGAATTAATTTTGAAAAAGTCTAGGAACACACAACTGGACACAAACCCTCTCACATGAGGTGTGTTCCCACCTTTTTGCGAGGCCTACACACGTGGGAGAAAGTTATGTCCGGTTCTGATTGGTTTTTGTGCAAGTAGACGAATTGATAAATTTTTTAGGGCGAAAACAAACTGCACTGAGAAATATGAAGAATAAATAATGTTTATATGATGGCTTGCATTGCATTTGAGAAAGGCATGCAGAGGAATAATTGAACTAGTAAAGAAGTAACACAAATATCAAAATATTGATACGTGTTGTTAACATAAGATAAAATGCAGAACTAATTAAAGCATTTGAAAACAGGTCAAAATATTGAATATCAAAATATTGATAGGTGTTGTTAACATAAGATAAAATGCACAACTAATTAAAGCATTTGAAAACAAGTCAAATTACAGTACAGATGGATAGTGTCTTCTTCTTTTTTTTTTTCTTTTTTTTTTTTAATAAAAAAATGTATTTCTAGCACCCTGAGTATTGCCCTAAGGCTTTGGACTAAAGTTGCAAGTTATATTCATTACATTCAAGTGCATTTAATAGTTCTGCCAAGTAATTTTGTCTTCCTTTGAATTTGCAGCACAAATATGGTCAATTACTCTGGGAGGCAGTGGGAAAAGGCAGAGTTATCCATCAACCATCTGAACAAGACCAGTATTGCAGAGATAGAATCTGCTGTAAAGTAAGTCTTCCGTTCCCTCGTTTGTCAGATTTTCTAGTAACCTTTTATTTATTTATTTTTAAAATGTTTTTGGTTTTCTTATCATGTTCTTTCTCTCCCTGAACAGGGAAAAAATTTGTGCGAACCAAGCTGCATATGAAGAATTTGTCGCTAGATCCTCATCCATTAATGCAGAATACGAAGCTAAAGCCTGTGACACACAGGCAGCTGTTAAGGGTAATTAAATCCCTATATATTTTAATTTTTTTTTTCTCTATTTATCAAACAATGAAATCAAGTGGGAAATATTATGAACTTGCAGATTCGCTGATGCTGGACCAGGAAACCAAGGAGGAGATAGACTCCATGTCTTCCTTGTGCTTGAATCAGCTTAAGTGTGTCGGGGAGAATCATACTGAAAGCATAACAAATATCAGAAACCAAGCGGGGCAGTGTCTGAGGAAAGATTATTTGGTAGGCTTGCTTGCTTGATATATCTTTCTTAATGTGAGAATAATTTTATCAGGAAAATATTCTTATGTCTCGGGGTGTTAAAAAGTAGCTAGACATTCCTTAAATTTTATTCTAGGATTAATCAAGAAAATGGTTTTTAGGCTAAGAAGCATGGACACGCAATTTTCAAAAAATGCACGCATAATTTTATATTGAACTTGCATGTCTTCAAAAAATCGTTTTTAGACACCTAAGAAAGTTTCATGTTTCGACAAATCTTGAACTTGCATGTCTTGCCCCTTTTAAATCACTGGACTGATGAAAGCACACAATCTGAAAATTGGTAGTTCGATTGTTCCAATGGAGAGTTTATTAAATAGTGTAATTCTGCACAGGTTGATCAGCATACTGGTACAACTCCGAAGTTGAAAATAATTGCAGTGCCTAGCTTGGCATCCATCGAGGAGATGAGAACGCCTGCTGTTGGAGATCTTATGGCAAATTTTACCAGACCAAATTTGGGCTGTACTGAAAGCAAGATCCAACAACAACAAGGGCAGTGTGTCGGAGCATCACCTAATAGAACTCCTTTTGCAGATGTCAATTTCTCTTAATGAGCTCCTTGATAAGAATATGGAAAACTTGAGCAGCTTCTTCTGTTGTATGTTGTTGGATGAGTCTTAAATTCAACTGGTGCAAACACACACATATTCATCAACTGATGAGTTATAAGGTTTGCCAATTCGGAAAGCTGAGGTTGGCTTTATGTTTAGTCCAAAATGTATCTTATAAAGTACTGTAATTCTTTGTGTTTGGGTGATGCAAATTTATTTTTTCGTTAAACTTGGATGAAACCTCATGTACAGTTACCAATTTATATAATGCTGTATAAAAGAGCAGTTTAAAGAAAGAATAATGCTAGGGATCATTAAAAAAATATCATGAAAGATTCTCCACTAATCAAGGGATGAAAAATCTTCGTGATGAATTTTATAATATATTTTTCATGATCCCTAGCATCAAAGTTTTCTAAATTGGACACAATTTTAAATGACAAATTAAAAATTGAATTAAATTATTTAACGATGTCAATATTTATTTATTTTTTTAACAATAAAGTGTGATTTTACGAAAATGTTTATGCAATTTCATTAAAATTTATAGATAGTTTAATCTGACCTGCAGTAGTTAGAGCCCAACATGAGGGACAACTTTTTGGGGGAATTGAATAAAAAAATATCTTAATATTGTACGTTTAAAAAAAATACTAATTAACTAATAATAAAAAAATACTAATCAATTAATAATAAAAAAATAAAAAACACACAATTTTTATTTTTGTATTGATCACTCAATCATTTTAAATTTAATTCTAATTAACTAATAATAAAAAAAAAAAACACAATTATATATATTAATCCCATGCAAAAGTAATATTACAACATTAATTTTTTTTTCTTTAAAACAAAAAAAAAAATAATTAGATTGAGAAGAGAGGAATTTGAAGATAAGACCTTCGGATCAGTAAAGAACACAATTACCATTTGAGTAATATACAATATATAATTACTATTTTATTTTATTTTTACGTATTAATTGCATACACATCACTTTCTAACTGCTAGTATATCTATTATAATATCTAAAATGAAGTATGCCGGTAGGATTGACAAAAAAGTGTTTCTTAATTTACATCAAAAATTACATAATTTCACATTGGTTTACCTTTTGAACTTGCTTAACATTGCAATAATAACTGAAGGGAGGTAACGCAAAATCCAAAATGATATCCCACATTTAAATTAATTCAGTTACTTATTCTATCATCGACACCAAGGCAGTTCCATTACTTCTCCATTTCTACTACGCATTAAAAATGATGTGACATAAAATAATAGTTCTACAGATCTTATGGTTGCAGCAACGAGATCATGGCTTGACAATTCCAAAAAAGTAAACCTATTGGGATGATTTTAATCCACATGTTTTTCTGTATTTGACCATTTTTATTTTTCTGTTTTTTTCATTTTTTTTAATTGGTAATTAGATTGAGGAGGGTTACAATTGTCCAATCATGTTCATTTGATCTCTTGGGGGTTGGGTTGTCCTCACTCTTTTGAGTGAGTTTCAAACTTTGTTCATGTGATCCAGTTCTCTTGATTGCTACCTAAGCTGCACAAGGTCAACATTGCCCAAAATTTCTATTTAGGCCAAGTTTGACATGTGTCCAAAAAGTCAAAAAGTCAAAAAATTACTCAAAAAGTTAAAAAGTTATCACTATTCACCAAAAGTCAAAAAGTACAATTGCACAACTCTCAATCTTAATTATTTCCCTACATACTCAATTTATACAATTTTTTAATACACATTTTTTCATAAAAAGTCAAAAAGTTTTCCTCAACTTTTTAGTTCAAAGAGTCAACAAGTGCACTTATTTAGGACATTCCAAACAACCCCTTAAAGTCCATCTCAATAGATCACTAATCCATATAATTCCAAAGCTCCAACTTAATTAGATGCTTTCCAACATGACATATAGTGTGGGTGTTTGGAAAATGAATTTTTATGAAGGTTTTTTTAGTTGTAAGATACTATTGGATAAATGTTTTTTTAGTGTTTGGAAAGATAGCTGGGTTTTTTGTGGTTGAATTTAATGTTTGTGAGAGAAAAAATGAAATGATTATGGGATTTGACATGATATTTTGTTTGGGTTTATTTTTTTTAATTTTGCAAAAAGTTTATCTTTTAGTGTAAAAAATCAAAAAAAATCCAACACACAAACTTCCCAAACACCACCATATGTGTACAATTATTTTTAAAAAAATTATCGATAGTATAATAAGATAATCAACAAGATAATTGAATAATGGACGGTTGCATTATATAACAACGAGACCGTGCTACTTAAGTTCATAGTTTTAGAAGGAAAACATGCCACCATAAGGGTTAGTTTTTTTTTTTTATTTTTTTTTATTTTTTATTTATAATTTTATCGAGAGAGAGAGAGAGGGAACTGCGATGGAGGAGAGTTTATTTAAGATTGGTTTGGGGGTACTGGTAGTGTTATTAATTAGTATACTAACTAATGTAATCAATACTAGTTATGACATTATTATTAACCCTACTCATTATACAAATTATAAATACCAAAAACATCTTAAATAATGTCACATCATCAATTGGTATACTTGTTAACACCATAAATCTGCAATTTTTATTATTATTTATTATTTATATAATTGCAGGACACGTGGCATCCTCTTATTCATTTTGAAGTTAAAAGAAGTTATAGAGATAATGGAGAATATGAAGGACAAAGTGGATGAGTGGGAAGACAAAGTGGATGAGTGGAAGGACACATGGCAAGACAAGAATGAAGATGGAAGAAATGGGTAGTTACTAAGTAGTTATTGCTGTATTTTTTCTTCTATAAATAGCCATTAATGGCTACATTGTAAAAGACCCAGAACTTAAATCAAAGACAATTGATTTCAATATTTCTTGTCATTTTCCTTATCTTAGGAGTAGTTTAACATAGATTTATATTTCGAAGCATTTTATGCACTTTCTTTTCGAAGCATAGGAGTAGAGGTAAGTAATTATTACTTTGATTGTTCACTCAATCATCTTTCTCCGTTCCCCATTCTTCTTTTAATTTTTCTTTTCTTTACACTTGGCAATCTTGAAGTCCTCTTCGTTGAGGCAAAAGAACCGTCAACACAATCGCTTGATAATTGGCTTGAATTTAATCTGTAAGGATTTTTCAATCCTTGCTGGCACGCTCGCATTTATGATATTTTCCTTCGTAGGAAAAATAAGCCAACAACTGTAAAAAATATATTTTTATCTTTCTCATCTCTCTTCTACTGATAACACAATTTAAGAGAAGTGGCGCGAAGGCAAAAAACAAAAGGACTCAACTCAAAAAGCCATGGACTGAGTTCCCCCCAATGGTGCCTCAATTGCCAATGCATAACCTTATTTCTGAAACTGTGACGGTTCATCGTTATTTTTCTTTAGTTCCAGACAGTGGCAAATTCAATAACAACAAAGCACATGTTGCTTCCATTCATTCATTAGAAGAGGCCATTGTGCAGAATAGTTCAATCAATCTAGGGTGTTGGAAGTGGTGGACTAGTTACTAAACTGACGACTGGCTTTAATTGCACAAAATAACATCCATAGCCTCAAATTCACATTTTCACACTCAACAGCCCAAATCTCATACCACCACCAAGAAATAACCCCAATTTCTTCATTCATATAGTGTTCTTCAGCAAAGGGAGGGAAAAGAGTAGATTGGGAATTCAGAAGATGTGGAGAAATTATGGATAGTGCTTTCATCCATTCTTATTCTAGTTATAGAGCCTCACTCAACCAAGAATTCAAATAATTGCTGGGTGAAATTGCAGCCCAAGGTACAAATCATTGAGCAAGGAGAAGGAAACACAATGAAGTTAAGATAGCAGCAATTGAGTGACTCAAGCCTTCATGTGGTTCACTTCTTCTTTAGTGTAGTTAAAATTTACTCTCCCCCAAGGATAAAAGACATCTTATCTACATATATATATATATATATATATAATCATATTTATAAGTATCTGAGCAAAGACTGCCCACTCTTAATCGCAAATCAATGATCTGGAACCAAAAGAAAAATCTGTGAACACTTCAAACCATTTGTTTTGTTACATATTTGTTTTCTTAATTTAAAAGCTACCTCTTGACACCCTTTTGCTTGACTAGTATAGTGCCTCCAAATTGAGATTTTAAGGTATTAGTACTACCTGAAATCTCAGCCAGGGATTAACAGAGTTTTCAGGCAAAATTTACAGCCTCAGGCCTTGAAAACATTATTATCATGAGAAATTAGGTGAATGACCTTGTCAAATTATCCATGAATCATCTTTTATTTGCTTTTAAAGTTGATTGTGTATCAATAACATTTCCTAGGCCCACTAAAATCTTTAAATTGACGGGGATCTTCAAAATTAATCCTCAGTGGAAAGAAGATGACAATCATCCGATAATAATATATTTATCTTTACTCAAAAAAGAAATTTAAGTTTCGGAAAACATCAAAATAGATGATAATTTATATACGAACACCATCATCCCGTAATCTCTTTTTTTATTTGACCTAATTCTTTGTAGTATGTGGAGCATTTCCAATTCTTACTCTCTTCTTTTATCAAACTTGAGTGAAAATTTGGTTAAGAGTTTGATCCGGTATGGAACACTCCAATCTTTACTAAAAAAAAAAATCCATCCGTTTTTTTACAAAAGAAAATAATTTAAAATCTTTATTATTTTTAAAATTTCATCAAATTTGAGTAAAAAGATGACGTTGAGAATTTGAAAAAGATTTTATACATCCTTGATTTAGCAAAATTTTTTCTCCCTCCCTATTTGATACAAGTTGAATGAAATGATTGGAGCTCATTTTAGTTCTTTATTCATCAAATTTGAAAACTTTCTTTTCGAAGCATAGGAGTAGAGGTAAGTAATTATTACTTTGATTGTTCACTCAATCATCTTTCTCCGTTCCCCATTCTTCTTTTAATTTTTCTTTTCTTTACACTTGGCAATCTTGAAGTCCTCTTCGTTGAGGCAAAAGAACCGTCAACACAATCGTCTGATAATTGGCTTGAATTTAATCTGTAAGGATTTTTCAATCCTTGCTGGCACGCTCGCATTTATGATATTTTTCCTTCGTAGGAAAAATAAGCCAAAATAAGCCAACAATACTAGTTAGTATACTAGTTGTTGCATATAACATTATTCTTGGGGTACACTATATAAGTACACTTTTTATTTTTTTTTATTTTTTTGGAGTCACATCA